GGAATAGTAGTTTTCCTACGAGTTTGAAAAGTCTTTGTTTGCGAACTGAAAGATTTGCGGCCCGAGCCGAAAGCGAGGTCCGTAACGAGGTTCGTAAAGGAGACTTTTCGAAGGAGTATCGAAAAACTGCTTTTTTGCCCGAGGAAGTACCAGCCTCCCAAAACCACCCGAGGGCGGAAAATATATTTATCATTAGTAAGATCAATTAAACAATTTAATAATTTTAAACTGTGTTTCCAGTAGCATACGTAATGTAGACAATAAGAATTACAGTAGTCTTAACACCTCGATATGTTCAAATCCCGGTATTTTATTTATTTTTTTTTAGGAGGAAGAGTCTTCCAGTAAGCGACTTCTGTTTCATAGAATTCTGTCGTTTTTAAAATTCCGGCCCCCCAAGTACGTGACATAAAGAACTTCGTTCTAAAAAATATGCGAGCAGGTTTATATTAATAAGACTCAAGATTTCGTAGTCATTCTTTCATTCAACTTGGTGCTGCTAGAGCACCGTTTGCTACAACAGCAAGCTAGAGAAAACAACCCTAAAGGGTACGGGCAGCCACATTGGCTAAAAATATTGTCAGTGTCATCATAAATGTACCACCAAACCAAATCTGTCGTGAATTTGAATCCGCGCACCATCAAGAAATGTAAAAGCGCCTTAATACTCAGACGTATGACATGGAGAGATACATTCTACTAGAACTCACATCTATTTAGTAGTACTTTTGTATTACACCTTTTATATCATGTATTACTTAAGCTAAACCGGTGACGAAAAGGCTATTGCAGTCACTTAGTTTTCCTCGTTCACCAGTAACTTCTCTCTTGTGTTACTTGGGTAAGGAGCGGATCACTGGGGCAGTGCAAACTAGAGCTATCCTCTAGGTAAAGTGGCTTGTAAACCGGCGGATCTTCAGGGCAGAAACGAACTGAAGTGATCCCGGGGCATTGGTAAATTACCGCACCTGTGGGTATCATAAGAGAGTAAATAAATTAACTCCTAGTAACATCAATAACCCCAGGACGTTGTGTCGCAAGTCAGGGGCATTGTGAATCTGACCACATCCTACACACTCCCACTGAGGTATCTCATAATACGTGTTGGGGGCTCTACGAACCCCACTTTGTACCTACGAGTCCTCATTGATTCCTATCATTCTTAAAGCCGGATCTCTGAAATACTAACATACGTGAATATATGACGTCACACGTAAGAACTCCATACTAAAAGTATACTTTAAATTTCAATAAATACATTTGTATATAATCACGACCCTCACAGGCCATCATTAATTTTCACGTTTACTACTCTATTTACTACTCTACCATCAATCTCTTTAGTCTTTTTTGAGCTCATATAACGTTGAACTACCTCGCAAACAAAAAATTTTTTAGAACTACTATTTTAGATAAAAATCTTAGAGCGACTTCTTACAGCGATTCGTTTACTAATAGAACTATATAAAGTCAGCCAATATTAAACCAAGTCATTCACTGGCAGATGTCGAGAGCAAAGCTGTTAGTTGTGAGGCTAAGAAGCTTTACCACCGACGACTCTGCATCACCCTCTTGACTAAGTATTCAACCCGAAATCACTAATCCTCTAAAGTCTGCGCTCGGTCTACTGAGTCTAGCTCACTGGTCCTTTTTAGGGTCATCTAACGTTGAACTACCTCATCAATAAATATACTACAACTTAAGAAAATTTGCGAAAATTAGTTACAAAAATTTTTAACATTACTTAGAATTGCAAGTGGGCAAATTGGAAGGAGATCTTTAAATGCTTTAAATGTTTTCAATTTAAGGCGTTGAGATGCTGACGCAGAACATTCATTGGGATTAAAACAGCAGCGTCAAAATCGATGAATAAACATTCCTTTAAGTGAAAGATCAGTTTTCTATTACAACTATCATTCTTACATTAATTGTTGAAATCTTCTAGCAATCCAAATACGTGGAGTGATATGTATTTACACTTATTGTGGCGCTGAAAAATGGAGAGATGAGGCCTTAAGATTTTGTTACTCTGGTGGTAAAGTTTCTCTTGATCTATTGGAAAATATTCCTGGTGTTTGCTGATGAATGAATATCCTCTATCAGAACATTTACTTCACAACATTAGACGTTATAATACTAAATTCCAAATAACTTCATGTGAAGGCAAAGAGATCAGAGAAGGGAACTTTATGCAAATTTTTCAACTTGAAGATAAAATGTACCACTTGATAGGCAGCTTACTTCTAAAAAAAGACAAAAGCGTGGAGTGCTTACAAATTTATTTCATGTCTGACGCAGAAAAATTTTCCATTTGGTCAGGCAACGTTCTTAAAAAAATATTGATATAATTGATACAAAAAATTTTACACGATTTCAATTTTTTTAAAAGAAGTTTTAAATCCAATGATAAATCTTAAACAGTAAATGAACTTGAAAATTAAAAATTAATTATTCATGCTGACTGGACTCCTGTTAGTGAGCATTGGGGATGATACAAAATGAACTTGCTGTACTAAAAGTTGACAAAGAAAAAAGTCCTTAAGACCTTATTCTACATGATCGACATGGACGGTTGGAGTGAGTTTCTGGCTCCACCGATTGTACGACTCCATGCAATAATCCTTTTATGTATGTTTTCAGAGAAAATAGATACTCTATTAATATACTACTGCACAGTCTTCCAAAAAAAATTGTTTTTTGCATGCAATTTTACTCTTACAGATTTACGTTTAGAATTTATGGTATAAATTACCTGCTTTATTATAAAAATTTACTTAATTAATTTGCTGTATATATGATGGCGAAAATAATCACAGCGTATTTGCTTTATTTGCGAACACTTCAAAAACAACTGCGTGCTGAAAATAACGTTCATCTCTGAGATGCAGTAAATAATGAAAGTAATATAGAACCCACCAGTATCGGACAGCTAATAATGTTACCTTTCACATTTACTAGCTCCATGCGATATAAACATATAAAAACTCAGGATGCAATGGAATACGTACGTGCCTTCAGGAGTCTATATTTATTTATCACCTTTACATTTAATCCTGAGTTGTCACAAATAAGAAATAATTTCAAGGGTTTTTTACTTAAAACTGAGAATACTGAATGTCCTCACTAAGAAAGTAATACACGGTGAAATTAAAGCTTGGATCTAAAGTATTAAATAGCTAAAATAAGGTCTACTTTACGTATGTTTGGTAAAACACTTTATTTGATATTGTACAAGCGGGTTGATTACAGCGTGAGAGGCGTCGTGAATGTGAGCGGGACAAGCGTCTGGTCGTCTCGGAGAGCAGTGCTCAAGTGCCCGAACGCAGAGGCGGCTTCCGGCAAGGCGGAAGCCCGTGAGCATGGCGGAAGTGCACGCAGCGCCTCGCTCGGCTGTCGCGCTCGGGCGCGAAACCAAACAATCCGCCCGCCTCGATCCTGGATCGAAGAACTACGTGCCGCCCGCCAAACCGGGGTCGGTCAGGGAGTCTTCTGGAGGCGGCGGAGCCGCGGGAGGCGCTGACACAGGCAGCAAGACCATCTTGGTGATGGATCGCTTGTACACGCCAGTCGCCGTCTTGAGGGTAGCAGCGCGGACAAAGCCGTCGGCTCCCGGGTGGACGCTGATGACACGGCCGATCGGCCATCGGCCGCTGGACTGCAGAAGTGTAGCGTCGAGGAGGACGACCACATCGCCGACGATGAAGTTCCGGCGAGGAGTAGTCCATTTTGACCGCTGTTGGAGTGTGTTGAGGTATTCTCGGCTCCAGCGGGACCAAAACTGGGCGCGGACCCCCCGAACGAGCTCCCAGTGGGCGAGCGCATCCAAGCTCTCCGCAGGGGGGCCGGGCAGAACGATGGAGTTGAGAGGGCCACCGACAAGGAAGTGCCCTGGGGTGAGAATATCGAGGTCTCCAGTGTCTCCAGATAGCGGTGTCAGTGGTCGGCTATTTAAGACCATCTCGATGCCAACGAGCACCGTGGAAAATTCCTCGTAGGTGAGATGGCGTGACCCCATGACGCGCTGGAGGTGACTTTTGGTTGACTTGACGGCGGCCTCCCACAAGCCACCGAAGTGAGGAGCACCCGGTGGAATGAACTTCCAAGCAATTCCTTGATCGGCGAGAGAGCCCGCGACCAATCCCCAGTCCAGCTCGGCTGTCAGCAAGGCATCGCGCAGCTCAACATCAGCGCGGCGGAAGCAAGTCGCGTTGTCGCTCCATATCTCACCGGGCCGACCGCGGCGTCCAGCGAATCGGTGGAGGGCGCCCAAGAAGGACGCAGCCGAGAGATCGCCGACCAGCTCCAGGTGCAGGGCCTTGGTGGCGAGGCACACAAAAACGGCGATGTAGCCTTTCGTGGTCCGGACTCCTCGTCCTCTGGCGGAGAGTACATGGAAAGGGCCGGCGTAGTCTACTCCGGTGCAGGCAAAGGCACGAGAAGGGGAGACTCG